TTATTTTGTGTTTACTGTGAATCTTAAAAGGTTACCATGTAGACTGAAAAAAACTTCCTGCTTTCAAAGACTTTATAACTCCTCATGAAAACTTTGAAGCTCAGTTAAGTCTAACATATTCCTGTCTTTTCTCCCCTCAATTTTTGGTACCATATGCTGAAGCATTTGAATGAAGTCAAGAACTTGTGTTACTTGAAGATTCATCTGTTTCTGCTCTTTGTTTCCCCTCACTTGCCATCAGTTAGTTGTTTAGGATAAACTATGAACAGAAGATTGTATGTTAAGGAAGGAAGGAATAAAATGACATAGATTAAAATCTGAATGAGTCCTACTCTCAGACAAATTTCTGAAAATAAAAAAAAAAAAAAAGGCAAACAAAGGAAGAAATAGCAACAAAGCTGAAATTTTAAAATATTTTTGTTGGTTTATGAACCTGTGCACAAATGTTTCCAGCAGAGGAAACACTGTTAGCTGAAGGATGTATTCTTTGTAACAAGATGTCCTTTTGGGGCACTTAGCAAATATTAGGATGCATGGTTTTCTTTTAGAATTAAATTTTTAAATGGAATTTAAATTATGACCTAATTTAGAGTAATTCTGTGATGTGTGCACTTCTCTTAGCTTTCTCAATGTAGTTGTTTCAGGTACATTTACAGATCTTACATAAAAAAATTGTTAGCTAATGGGATATATTTGTCCCATCCACAAAATGTTGTAAACTTTGTAGACTTCACATGAAAAGCTGATTAGCACCTCGATCTCATAAACCAAAATTAGTCATTTTCTTCCCTTATCAGTTTGACTTTTAACTCTCCTATAAATTGATTTGCCAAAGCTCTTAAAAGCAGAAATCAAAAATGCAGAAAAATGCAGCAGAGTGATTGTAAGCAAACAGCCACAGATTACTTCACACCAATGTAAAGCGATATGCAACAAAAAGTAGTATTAGAAAATTCTTGCTACACAAGCCAGTTAAGAAGCCTCAAATAAAAGTGGCAAAAATAACTTTCCTGGTTTACCCAGGATCTGTGTCTTTGAACAAGGGTCCTCACTCATCAGCATAATTTCCATGTTAGAATACTATCCTTATATTTAGCAATTTGAATCATGAGAAGGTTTTACCTTGCTTTGAAAAAAGACTGGTAACCACCCTTCCCCTTCTACCATTTGTTCTGTCCTTTTTGTACAGTTCTGGAATACAGTTCTCTCACTTGCCAGGGACTATTTCCACTTTCATATTCACCATTTGACATGCCTTTCTTCCACAAGCTTTTTCTTTTTCCCCCTCCTCCTTCCTCCTTAATACTAAGGACACCATGCTACACACTAGCAGAGGAATGACAAGGAAGAAAAATTTAAAAAGTACATTCAATCACAAGAGAGATGGTGAGAAACTAAAAAGTCCTACCTGATGCAGAGACCTCTTAGTTCAACCAGTGATCCAGTATAGTTCACTGACACTTCTGTAAATTATTAACTAGGTCATGCCACAAGATGCAACCTCTGATACAACCCATTTCCCACCCCACCCACTAAAAAAGAAGCAATGTGATGACTTCCAAAGATGGTATCTACCTGACACCTCTCTTCTTTCACCCACCCTGCCAGGTTGCTAATCTGGGAACATAAGACATAAAGCAAACCATGCCAGAAAAACAGGAAAGACAAGATATGTTTGAAAATTCAAAATTTCTAACATCTTAGGTAGAAGAGGTATTTCATCCTGGTTGTCTTCATGAGGAAGAATTTTAGTAAGCCATTGATAAATGTAACAAAAGGTACTTACTTACTTGAAGAAAAAACTGTACAGAATTCCAAGCTGTCCTTACAATAAATTCAAAAGGAGAAACTGCCCGTTAACAGAACTAATTCATGCCTCACAAAACCCCTATTTTGTTGAATGGATTTATATAAACTTCTGAAATGTATTACAGTGGTGTTTCCTTTGCCCTTTAATACCACACTGTTTACACTACATTGAATAAACATCTCCCCCCAGAAATAAACCAAACCACATCTAACGTATTAAGTTAATTTATGACTTTAAATATGACTAGCTACAACTGATAAAATGTTGTGGAAATACGATGTTAAGTCTGATAGCTATCTTGTAAGAAGTTTTTTTTAATCCCAAGTATTGAAAAAATATGCTTTCACTGCAGAAACACAGTGCTTCATGTAAATGATTCCTGATAGTAGAACGTATTTGCCACTAAAGAACTAAATAGTTGCTTTCTTAAAATAAATTAATATATATAATTTATATATATGTAAAAAAATGTGTATCACTAATTATTCTGATCAGCTTAATGCTAACCACAAAATAATTAAAGTAAGAGAGTAGAAAGCTATAGGAGATGAGCCAAAGACACATTAGAAACCAAACCTGATCACCAGAATCCGCCTCTGGTCCCCAAGAAAGATTGCTGAAGTGCAGTACAGACACACCTGCTCAGTGCTGACAGCAGCAAGTATCAGTGGCTACTTCTGTTATTGATATTGTCACCATGGGCAAAAACCTATTCCTGGTTGTGGATATTTGCCTTTACTGGTCTCAATGATTAAGTTTGTGAGAACGTGCAAAACCAGGCAGAGTAGCATCACACGGACTTTGTGCTTTCTTCTGAAGATGGCGGTCCTAATGGGAAAGCTTTAGCCTGTGGAACTGCACAGCGCTTTATTATTAGCTGTGATACAGCCAGAGGGCTGCTGACACCCCAGCTTCATACAGCGTACCAGCATCACAGCGGCTGCTATGGATAGTTCTGGTTCCCAGATGACTCAAGAAGGATGACAAGGGAAAGCAACCGACTCGCTTTCAAGCTAGAAAAGGGAGTGTGTGCTGATGTGTTTAGGAACACATAAACATCTAAAAGAAGCTACAATCTCACTACTGTTGCATAGGCTGTGGTTCACTTAGACTCTGAGCTGTAAAATAATGAAACCAATCAGTAATGCTAGTGTATGATGTGGCTGTTACAATGTGTGCTTGGCCAAGACCCCATCCTTAAAAGAGTTGGGAAGAATTACTCCAACTTTATAATCAATTCTTTCCCAAATTGGCAGTGTAGGTGCTGTTAAAAGGTAATGTTTTCTATCAACAGCTTTGCTGCTTTTAAGGCCTTTCCTTATTAGCAAAATACCATGTTGCTGCAGGGACATTTCTTCACATAAATGTGGTTTGTGTTTGAGGAGATTTAATTCTACCCTTGATCCAACATGTCTGAACCAAACGCTGTGTGAAGAGCATATGCTCAACACTCCCTGATTCAATTCAGGATAGTGGCTAAAACAAACAACTAAACCAACTTTGCATGCATGTACCTGAAAAGCATAAATGATCAGTATCTCAATATACTTGAGCGTTCTTTAATTCAAAGGCCTCTCAGTATGCTCTAGTCATGTATTTCTACTGCTGCTGCAGTGGGTAAGAGTGTTTCTAGTGATTTATTGATTAGTGCTGCAGGAAGCTACAGAGAGGGTTTTTGGTTTTTTGAGTTCTTTTAACAGCAGTGATACTGGACAAGTCATCAATCCATTTACTAAAGTGATAGTAATTCCTGTTTCGTGTATTTTCAAACATTAATGGAGTGAAAAAAAAATAATCTGACCTACTCTGGAGGTGATGTTAGTTCTACAAAACTTTCTTTTGAGTATTTTAATTTCCTGCCCTTTCTCCTCAACTGTGGACCAGATGATTGCTGGTTTCTGAAACAAAATGGTTGGATGCTGCCCCCTGGTGAGCCAGGCCCTCACTCCGGAGACAGCTGAACCATGACTGCCTAAAACTGTTTTCTGTCGCCAGTTCCCTTTTCCCCAAGAAAAAGCAGCTGATTCTTTGTCCCAAACTCTGACTTGGCTATGGTGGTATTTATCACATGTGACCCACTACATACAGCAGCAGGCAGGATCGCTACTGTGCTTCAGTACAGGCCAACAGTGAGCACTTCTGAATGAGAAAGACCTTGTTCGCTGTGGTATTGTTTCAATCAATGCCTACGTTGAGGCTTTTTACCTTTGGCGGCCAGAATACATTACAAGCATTAACAACTCTCACAACTGCCATCCGAGGCAGGTCAGCAGCATCGCCCTTGTTTAATCAATAGGTGACATGTGGCACAGGGATAGGAAACACTGGTTTCCAGACAGGTCGTTCTGTACGGGTATCTGTCCCACCACAGCTAAACCGTGTGTTAAAGCTGTTTGTGCTGGTTTGGTTCACTGACCTGTGCAGCACAGCCCCCACCCCGCCATTTTGATTGGGGAAGTCCTCTTCTCGCAGACCAGAGTCCCTAGCATGGGCTCTCAACCCTGAGCGTATCTTAGCCACAGGAATCCAAAACATCGCGTGTTGCCTGTAATACCTTCGTGGAAGGGAAGGGCTTTATTCAAACCACCTTCTCAGAGGTTTTTAACTTTTAGTCTGCACCCTGGACTTGAGGAAGGGGCTGCGATCGCCCACCTCTCACTGTGGCTGCTACAAAGGGATGCGCTGTTTCAGAGAGGAAAAAGCAGGGCTCTGACCCATCCGTGTTGGTTCTGGGCAGTTGTTGTGTTCCGTTTCTTTCCTGAAAAGCCTTCCCTGGACCCCTTTTGCAGCAGCATTTCGGGGGAAGCCAGTCCAGCAAAAGCGTGGGCGTTTTTTCCCTTCCAAACGCTTGATCTTAATGCAAACGCCCTTCTCTAACGCCAGAGCCTGTGCCCGCCTTATCGAAAGGCCTCTCGCGGCTTGGCAGCGGCTCCAGCAGCCGGAGCTCC